CCCAGTGTCAATTAAAACACCTGCCCGTTTCCTAGACCCTGAGCGCTGAGTGATCCCCGGGAGTGGGCGCTTAACCTAACGCCTTTTTAAGTTAAGAGGCATCATGTTATTGGTATGTTTATTTTATAATTTACATAAGAACTGGGCCATCATTAAAACTGTCACTCTTCTGTGCCAGGTGCCTTCCTCTGAGTCTCACCTTAAAGAAGTGTCTTTTTTGAGGCTTAATAATTTATTTGTGGAAAATTGCTTCTGAGTATGAGGTGGAAAAGCATAGCTTTGTTCTCGTGATATGCTCTTTTCACAATTTCTAGTGGTTTTGTGAGGAAACGGAGAGCAGTGATGATGTTGAAGCTCTAACTATCAAGAAATTCAGAGGGGACCTGGCCTACAGACAGCAAGAGTATCAGGTAGAATTCCGCATTTATAAGATCGCACTAGTTGAAATGGGCCCTTGTTCTGTAAGTCACGGCATATTTAAGTAATAGGCTACTAACTTAGGAGTGTGTTGTTTGTGAAGATGAATTTAATCTCTTGCAATGTGTTTGTAATCTTAGAGCCCCAAAGTTCTGTCCTTTCCTATGAGGCTCTATATACTTTGTTTTGTTTCTTATAACTCCAATATAGGAATCTTTTGGGGATCCTTGTAAATCGGATTCCCTAGGCCCTGTATCTCATTATGTGGGAGCCTCTAGCACAGATACCTTATAGTGCCACGGAAGCAAAGCACCCCAAAATGTGTAAGAAAAGGTAGAAACTAACAGCTAGATATCAGCTTTGCATGTAGATCTCATTTCATCTTCATAAGAGTCCTATTGTTATTTTGCTGATGAAAAGGTTATATAGCAAGTTAGTGGCAAAGCCATCATTCAAATCCTGGTTTTTTTGGTTTCAGAATGTTCTTTCTACTATACTATGATGTTTCCCATGGTAGTCATGGTTCTGTTCTCCAGCCATTTCTTCTTTACCCTTTAGAAGAATACTGGTGACCGATGAACTTCTTTAGTTCATTGTGAGGGTCAGTTATGACATTACCTTTTGCTAAGGAAAAAAAATCACCCCTATAACTGAGTCCTTTCTTCTTCTGTGTTTTCTGCCTTTCTTTTCATCCCTTCTCTTCATTTCCTCTACTGAACAAATAACTGCCAGAAAGCACTGCAGGAATATTGCAGTATCTCTGAAAAATTACCACCTACAAATGTTGCCATGAAAAGGGATGTCCAGGAAGGCCAGGCTCGGTGTCTAGCTCACCTGGGAAGGCACGTGGAAGCACTGGCGATTGCTACGGACTTGGTGAGTGGTGTCATTGCTTATTTTCAGTTGTTTTCCTAGGATGGCTGCATATTTTTTTAAAAAACAAAACAAAACCAGCTTCTTGCTAAGAGCAAAATCTGTGAGTTTGGAGAAGCAGAAGAAAATTGCCAGTGGTGTAAGGACATTATGATGATGAATAGTTTGGAGCTCTAGGCATAATCATTTTTTAGTAATATTTTTTCTTGTATTATGCTCAAAATTGTTCATTGCCCAAAAATGTCATTTGCAGAGGTTTTATTTTTGTTGGGAATAAATACTGAATGGAAGGATTATCAGTGGTCTGTTTTCTTCTTTAGATACTATTTTTCAAAATTTCTACAGTGAACATGTATTACTTTTGTAAAGAGGAAAAAAATTACCAAAAAGTGACTAAACATCATACTAAGCCAAGCTTTAATAATCCATTTTTTTCTTATATGGTACTTGCAGAATTTTTTTTAAGGGATAAAGGAAAGCAGCTCTTTGCAATTCTGCTTGTTTTTGTTTTTAGATCAAGGCATTTATGGTTTATGTCTGTGGTTATTTGTGTAAATTTTACATGGGGATTGACCTTAAGTAGACAGGCTCAGTTTATAGATGACCAGTGTTCTTTCTCAGAGGGAGCTAATGAGGCGCATGGCACTGATCTTGAACCCCGTGGACCTAGTCGACCAAGGTGGCCCTCGAGTGTGTGTGCCATCTGAACTGCCCTCGTTCTTGTAAACTAAGAGAAATCCCTATTTGCTTGCTGAGGGGTTCATTGCGTAGGACCTCAGCCTCTTGCAGTGAGAGGAAACTTTGGTGGTAATTGTCTTCAGAACCTGGAAAATAGCTACATTTTCTCCTTTTTTCTCCCCTCTACTAACTGGGGGTTAATTGGATGCATGTTGTCGAAGGAACGTACAGTATTTCTTAAACAAATAATTTTAACATCTCAGAGTGGTGTGCTCGTGTGATGAACTGTGTAAGGACACTGCTTTCTGACAGTGAAGGACTGTCTTTTTCATTTATGTTGTCCACTGGCATTTCAGTCCCACCTGTGCCCAGTTCTGGGTTTGGTGCTTAGGAGACAGATAAACCATATCTATACCCTGCACATCCATCGCTCATCTGGAGTCTAGTGGGAGAACCCTAAGCCAGCTCACATGTGTCAGCTCTTCTGTGACTTTATTCTTTATTCTGCAACTTCTAGTATGACTGACTGGCTCTGCTACTTACTAGCTGTGTGAGGTCAGGCAAGCTATCTGACTTCTTTGTTGTGACTTGTTGCCTCATCTATAAAATGGGAGTGATAATAGAATCTATTTTAAAGGATTGTTACAAGGATTAAGTGAGTAATCCCTTAAGCAGCGCCTGGCACACGGTAAGCACTCAATAAATATTAGTTGTAGTCGTCATCATCACGTCACAGAGGAATTGCAATGTTCTGGAAAAATCACACCACGTCATTTAAATGGAATTTAACTTACACAGAGTTATTTACTAGTTATGCTATTAAAACCCTCCGGTCAAAATCGTAGTTTGCATATAACAACCTCTACCTCAACACACACTTGCTTTCTCAATGTGAAAATGTTTTCACACAGTATAAAGCACTAAGACTTGTAGAAGAAAGGCAGCATTTGTTATAGGTGGTCCAGGCTTGATACTTTCCTTATTATAAATGAAAGACATGAGGAGGTATTACTGAACAGTTATTAAACATCTGTTATGTCCGAGGTGCTGTGCTCTGTACTAGGGATTCAGCATTGAACAGAAACCCTTCTGGAACTTAATGGTCTGTTGGGAAGGCCAGAATCATAAACAGGAGTGATAATTACACCAGATAGGTTCTGTTATTGGGAAGATACAGCGCGACCACATAGGTCGTGTGGGGCTTTCTTTCCTACTTTTGCATTGTGTATGTGACTATTGAGAGCCCTCCCAAGCTTTCTACTCACTGATGCGTCAGTGTCTTCGGCTGCATCCTGGGTAGTTTTACTCGCATTTCTCTCTCAGTGTAGTTCTCTGTGGCAGCTCGATTTGCATACTAGACAGCCAGGCTTTCCTGTGACTTAAAATCAACAAAGGTCATTTAGTCTGCTGTCTGCTCTCCACAGACTTTAACTTAGAAAAGAAGGATTGTTTTCCCTAACCCACAGGGCTTTTGCCATATGGCAAGTCAGGCAAGAGGTGGTGGCTCTGGTAAAGGTGGCTCGAAAAGGATTTTCTGATCCGAAGGAAACCAGGCAGTCCCCTCTAGCCAAAACACTCTGGCCTTGGTCATAGCAGGGAAGGCATTTGGATTCAATTATGATGCAGCATGAAACAGAGAGAGCTTCAGGACTGTCCTGCTTAAGATGTCTAAGCCAAGGAAAATTTGGACATGGAGTTCATTCGAATCCTCAAGGAAATCACCATTTGGATTTTTAGGAAGCCTGGAATCTTAAAATGAAACCATTAGCCCAGGGTATAAAAAAGTTGGCTTGGTTCTCTCAGTTGTGTGGCTGAAGACAATAAAGATTATAAGAAATATTGAAAATAAACTGGCACTTATTTCTTTGGTGCTGAACTTTTTCAGACCACTGTCACATGAATTGTGTTGTTTTTATGACATTAGGATGTTTGGGAATGACTGGTGCTTGCTTTGCTGGGTAGTAGATACTTCTCTAGGTTTATGGTTTCAAACTGAGATCTATTGAAAAATACTTCGTCCACTCTAGTTGTGTAGCTGCTGAAAGATACTTCTGATTTATAACATGTACAACCTGGGTTTTTAGGAATCTCCATTTTCATATAGAAAACGTTCTGCAGTTTAATGTTTTTGACCTTTTTTTCTTCCTTAGGAAAGGAAAGCAACTAACACAGACCATTTGACCACTGTGCTCCACCTCCAGCTCGCCATTTGTTCAAGCCTGCAGAACGTGGAGCATGCCATCTTCTGCCTTCAGAAACTGATTTCTTTGCATCCCTTTAACCCTTGGAGCTGGGGCCAGCTGGCAGAGGCGTACCTGAGTCTGGGGCCAGCGTGCTCAGCATCGTTTGCACCGTCTTGTAGGCAGAGCCATTTCACCTTAAGTGACAAAACCATCTACACCTCCTGTCCACACTCAGGAAAATCCTGTCTTTTGTGTTTCCCTGAGACGTTGCCTGAGAGCTCTGTGTTTTCTGGGGAAATGAGCAGCGGTAACCACAAGAAGGAGAAAGCTCTGAGCTATATTCAGGACTCTGCGGCAAAAAAGAGAGCAGCAGCACCGCTGGAGGCTCAGCTGAAGGCGTGCGCCTCTTTGATACGAACCAGGTAAGTGGACAGTGGGTTAAACCGTATGTGTGATACTAGGCTCAGAGTAAACCGCATGTGTGATACTAGGCTCCTTTTTCTAATTTTAAGTTTCAGAAAGTTCTAGGCTAGTTCTGGTATATGTTTTTGAGACTTTTCCCATGGTCTACATGTCAATGCTTCCAGAGTCCAGGTAGGTAATGCAGACAGGTCAGAATGAAGCAGGTGAATGTGAATTGGGTCAGGTTCTTTCATGAAACTCGTGACTTCCCATCACACTGGCATAAATTCCACATTTCTTCCCACCACCCACGAGGCCTTATGTGAGCTGACACTGCCTCTCTTTCTCTCCTGTTTACTCCAGTCTTTTTCTTTCTGGCTGTGTTCCACCCACAAGGGATCTTCGTGAGTTTCACACACACCAAGCTAGTTCCTGTGTCAGAGCCCCCCACCCCCTCGGCCAGCCCTCTTCCCCCAGGTATTCTTGTGCTGGCTCATTCCCCTCTGGGTCTTGGCTTGAGGGGTGTGTTGGAAAAGCCTTCCTCCGCTGCCCATCCAAAGTAGACACTGCACCCGCCCTGTCTTGGATTTCTTTTTCGTAGCACTCATCACTACCTGAAATTGTCTTACTGTTTGTGTGATCTCCCTCCTTCCATCCCATGAAACGTGCCTAGTGCCTACAGTAGTGTGTGGTATCTACACAGTCAATATTTAACAAACTGTGAAGGAGCCACATGACGGGGACAGGAGGGAGGAGGAGCCCAGAGACCAGGCTTTGATCATGATGGTGAAGTTAGTGGTGAGGCAGTTGCAATGTGGTCATCAGAGGGTCCTCAAAGATTGGGGCTCGCTTTGGGTAATTCAAGTGAGCTAGAGAATGTAATTAGTCTTTGAGGTCATGTTGCTGTCGGTTCAGGGACATGGAAGGATCATAGAGCACTGACTGCAAAGGAACACACCCCCATGATTCTGGAGTGGAGCCTTTGACTGAGAGGCTTGTGCTTTTCATGCCACATCACTTGTGCTTTTGATCACGTGACTTCTACAGGATGCCCTCTGCGGTCTTGCTCACTAAAGGTTTCTTTGAGAAGCTTGGTCAATGCATCTTTAAGAAGATGACTCTCCAATGGAAAGCTGAGTACTTTGTTCAGAATAAGAAGCTTTAGGGATTTGGATGAGGGTGAGTGTCTGCTGCTTAGCCCAGTGGGACTCTCACCCAGCTGAATGCCTGCGTATATATGAACATCTCACTGCTTTCCTTTCTGGGGAACCTACACATCCGGACTTTTGTGTTTTTCAGGCTTTTGCTTCAGCTCACCCAGTCTCAGCAGACATCGTTTGCTTTGGAGAGGAACCTAAGGACCCAGCAGGAAATTGAAGATAAAATGAAGGGCTTTGGCTTCAAAGAAGACACTTTGCTGCTGATGGCTGAGGTGAGTGTATCTCCTAGGGTTTATGTGAAACGAGGCATCATAGATATGTTTCCTGGCTCCCATCCCATTTTTTCAAAAACAAGGTCAGATCGCATCCTCTAAAGGACCTCCATGTCCTTCCTTTACGGGCCTTTGGTCACTTCCTCCTCTTTCTGCTGCAGTGTGCAAGCGGCAGGGGCCCTGTTTCATTCGCAGGTTGCTGCTTGTGAGCACCTGCCTGCTTGAACACCAGGATGCCCAGTAACTGTTTTCTGAGTGCTGATTAAGGGAATGAATGTTGACATTTGTGCAGGGCGCTTGTATGTTTTCTCCTTCATTCATCCTCATAACAGCCTGCGGGACAGGCGGGACTGGGAGTGAGGCGCAAAGAGGTTGTGACTTGCCAAGGTCAGGTTTTAAGTGGCAGAGCCGTGCTGGCACCAGTCCAGCTGCAAGTCCCCTGTCTGTCTGCTCCACCCTGTTACTGCTCCGATGGTTGTAGAGACATTCAGATGTCAGTTTTTTTAAACCTTTATTAGTTTTTAGAAAAGTATGCTGTTGAAATGTATTCAGATAGCATTTGTAGATTATCCATGTATTTAAGTTATTCACTGTGGTTCCTTTTAGTATATAATTGAAACTTGACTGCTCAGGAACTTTTCCCATGAGAATAACTATCTGTATACATCCTAACGTCATGCTTTCAAAAGATACTGCAAACCTACAATGCCCGGCCCCTTTCCCCCTCCCCAAGCTAAGCTCCCGCTTGGCTCCTTTTCCCTGTGCTAGCGTCATGCTCTCCTGTCTGTCGTCTGAGCCTTTTTCAGCTTTCTCACTTCTATGGGCTCTTTCCCTTGAGCCCAGCCCACAGACATGCGCAGATGCGCCGTCTCTCCCGAGGTCACCGTAGCCTTTCCTTGGTCCTTTATGTTTCCTTGGGTTTGTAGCTGTGGGCCACTCACTTTTGGTTTCCTGTTCCCTTTGCTCCGAGAGGCTGCACTAGTCTGCTTTCCCCAGTAGTTCTCACTGTCCCTCTGCCTCTTGAGATACAACTAGTTTCCCCTGTCTCCCAAGTACTGCATTCTCTGAGGTGTCACTTAGGTTCTCTGTCCCCTCTGCCTTTTTCTCACAGCAGTCATAACCTTGCGTGTAGTTCATTGTCACCTCTGGGCTGATTACCCTCCGATCTGTGTCTCTGCTCCCTTCTCTGGAATGCTTGTCTCACATCTCAGATTAATTACCTACTGAGTGATTAACCTGAGCCAATTATTGGTTATTCTGGCACATCAGGTACAAAATGTGTAAAATGGGACTGCTCATCAGAGCATCTCCCCCTCTGCCAGTGCCGAGCATAGTGTAGTGCCGTCCACAGACATGGCCGTCAGCAAGCATTGTTGAGAGGAAGCACAGGGTCTTCCTTGTAGACTTAATTTTTGCCATTGATCCTGTCGGTCATTCTTTGTTTATCCAGATCTGGAACCTCACTAGCTGTGGGCATCTCCCTCTGTTCTCACCTCTAGACGGGCACCCAGCCCACCCTTCCTTCAGGGTCCACCTTTCATTTCTCTTCTACCACTGGCCCCACTTATCACCTCCTGGTTGACTCTCACAGTGCCCTCCGGGCTTGTCTCTCCTTGTTTCCTTACTGTCTCCCCTCAACTCTGTTTTGAACATTGCTGCTGAGTTGATCTTAAAACATTGCTTTGAGGGCTGGGTGAAAAAGGTGAAGGGATTGAGAAGTACAGATTGGCAGCTACAGAATAGTCCCGGGTTTGTGAAGTACAGCACAGGGACTATAGTCAGTAATATGTAATAACTATGTGTGGTGCCAGGTGGGTACTAGACTTATCGGGGGATCACTTTGTAAATTACATAATTGTCTAACCACAGTGCTGTACATCTGAAACTAGTAGAAAATAATATTGAATGTCAACTATAATTGAAAAATAAAATTGAAGAAACAAACATTGCTTTGACCATGTTATCTGCTTGCCTAAAAACTAAAATGTGTCACCGTTACCTCAGAGGTCAGGTCTGGTTTACGGCCTTGATAATGATGTCTAAGACCTTCCAGAGAGTAACCCCAAACTTGTGACCCAGGAATTCTTTACACAAATCTTTGCTTCCACTAGCCTGATCTCCTGTGTCTAATAAACCTGTCGTGGGTTTTCATCTCCACCTACTTGCTGTTTCCATCCTCAAAGACCCAGCTGAAATCCATCCTGTTCTGTTCTGTGGCAGTTTCTTTCTCATCTGAGCTCAGAGAGAATGATGGCTTGAATAGATAGCTCCTTAGTACCCACCCAAAAGCAAGAATGTGTATAATCTTTGTGGGGTGTTTTATCAAAGAGAAACTAACACAGAATCGAGCCTGATTTTGACCAGTAGGGGGCAGTATTGTGCCTTTCGTTGCCATATTAGTACTTCAGCAACTTGTTCACTCGGGAAGGATGATACCAGAAATGTGGGGTGATATTTACCCATGTGGTCCTCAGATTGCTGCTTCTGATCAGACATCTTTTCAATATGTTGGAATTGTCCCCAGGCTGTTGAAGGAATTCTGCTTGTATGAAATCCTTTACATGAAGACTGGCGTGGTCTTGCACACCATGCCTGCTGCCCCTTTTATTGGGTCAGGGTTTTTTTCCCTTCTCCTGCAGGTTATGGGAGAAGATATCGTGCCAGAGAAAATAAAAGACGAGGTTCACAGTGAGGTGAAGTGTGTGGGCCCTGCAGCCCTGACCGCCTTGGTGATTGCATCTTCGAAAGAATTTGAAGACAAGTGGTTCAGAAAGATCAAAGACCACTTCTGTTCCTTTGAAAACCAGTTCCAGACACAGATACAAATCTCCACTTAGTCCCTTTAAAAGCAAAACATCTGGCACTGTGTTAACTGTCCTTGTTTACTTCAGAGAGAATCTACTGCTAACCATGGAATAGAGTGAATTAAACATGATTATTTATATTTTATAAAAATGGCTCATCTCCCACATTTTTTTCTATTCTGTTTCTTGATTTTTGTTGTTTTTTTTTTAGATTTTTGCCATTCACCTATCTTAGCTGCCTACCCCTTTAGAAGTTATCTATTGGGAGAGTGTGTAAAAGAGGCTTCTAGATTTTATAGTCTTTTAAAAACAGTAGCATAAGTATTTATTTGTTTAGGTAAGTTTGTCAGGGATGACTGAGATTGTGGAAATGAAGACATGTCAAAGTTAGTTTCATAGATGCTCCAGGAGATGATTATTTGTGTCCCAGCCAGCAGTATAAGCTTCAGCATACTTGTGTCACTTCCTCTGGCCTCCAAGACCCAAGGCGACACATATGCGTCCATGTAGCACTGTCTCACAGGGAGAACATCCTATCCTTTCAGCCACACAAATTTTAATCACAATCTAAACATCATCTTCAGATACAGAAGGCCATTACCTCACTCAAATTACCTGGGATGGAGGAGCTCCCATAGAGAAGTGGAATTTAATAATAAACCAGAAGCTTCACCAGACATTGTCCCAGCTCTTATTTTTCTCAGCAGAGGAAGAGAATGCCAACCCTGGGCAAAGAGGTGTCATCAGGGTTACCCTCCCGTATGCCTGCTCACTTCACCTTTCCCCAGGCCTTTTCCCAAACAGACAAAGGTCTGACGTTGCTTGTGTTCTGACCATTTTAGTGTGTGTGAGCAGTAGCATAACTAGGGATGGCAAGTTTAGTCATTTTGTCTCCAAAACAAAAGACTGATTAATAGACATTTCAATCTCTAGGAACCATTAAAAAGTATACAAACCTCTCAACAGCTCCCCATGGCCCTCGAGGCATCCATTCATTCAGTCATTAACGACCACTTACTGAGCCCCTGTTATGTGACAAGCTTTGTGCACTTACCATGGAGACCAGGTTATCATGGAGTTGATGGGCTTAAGTGTTGACCCTCAGGATAGAGCCCCAGCTGGATTGTGGCAACCCAGGGCTCCATCTTTTCCTGCTCCCCACCTTTAAATGGCCATAACTTGTACCTTTAGGCAGCTCAGTCTGTAACCTCTCCCAGTCCCATAATATGGCTGATTCATACTCAGCTTTCAGGTCTCAACTGCGTTTTATCTTCCCAGACTCCATCCCAAGTGGTGGTGGGTTTCCCTCTGCTTCTCTGCTCTTTTCCTCCCACATTCGTTTTATTGCTCTGTATGGTCATTGCCTGTTTGTTTCCCATGACAGACTAAACTTTGTACAACCAGGGGACAGGACTGTCTTCTGCATATTTTTATCCACAGGGCAGGATACCTGGCATCTCGCTAAATATTTGTTGAAAAGAATTGCTGAATGCATTGGCCAACGTCTAATTTTTTTGCACAAAAGGTTAATGCCTGATGATCTGACAGTGCTGAGGCGACCGGAGCACCCGCCTGTTTCTCTTTCTGTAGCTAAACCCCTTCCTCCCGTTTGTCCATGTCTCCTAGAAGTTCCTTTTCTCCCCTAGGCTCTCTCGGCTTTTCTTCTCCACCCTGGTTCCTGTCACTTTGCCCAGGCTTAGCGTTTAGCCCTCTGGCTTTCCTCCCGGTCCACTGTCCACACAGCTGCCTGAGTGGTCTGCGTGGAGCTGCGCGCACCCTGGCTGCATGCCAGTGCCTGTGAGAGCCCAGCCTCCTGCACTCCAGCGTCTCAGCTGTAATGGAGGGTGGGAAAGGGCACCAGGAAGCCTGGGCACCTCTGGGTTTCATCACAGAAGTCATCTTGGTCATTTCCAGCATAGATGGTAAAGGTAATTAATGGAGCAATGATTATGCTAAAGAAAAATTTCAGGCCAGTCTACTTAGACACCCCACCCTTCGTCAATGAATGAATCACTCAGAAGGTGAGCAAATGTGAACCACTGGTGACTGCACTCGAGGTGGGTACGGTGGGACTCAAGGGCCATTCTTGCCTTTTGAGATTCAAAAGGCAACTCTTCAACTTTTTCTCTGGGGTGGGGAGGGGGTGGCAGTGGGGATGGGGATCAGTGCCTGGTATTTGAGCTGCTGAGCCTTATGTGCTTTATACTCTCCCACCCCTGCAATCTTCATACTGTAGATTCCTTCATACAGGAATCTTGTAAAGTCGTTCTCAAAGTCCTTCAGTGATTTCCCAAGCCTCCATGAGGCCTGCGAGGGCCTGCGAGGCCTGTGTGGTCTGGCCCTGGCCTCCCCAGCTCATTCTGGTTTCCTCTCATGTCCTTGGACTCTTCAAGCTTCTTGCCACCCAAGCCTCTGCCCATCCAGTTACCTGTGCTTGGGAAGTTCTCCCCTCCAACCCTCCAACCTTGCCATCAATGTCCCCTTCCCTGGGGATCTCAGCTCAAAGGTTACTCAGACAAGATGTTCCTGATCCCAGACTTGCTCCCCCTTTAAATGTTGTCATAGTGCCTGTGCTTTGCTTGCTTCCTTTTTTCCCCCCTCCAAAATGCTTATTGGATTTATTGAATATTCATTGTATGAATCCTCCTTGCTAGATTATAGGCTCTAGGACTGTGTCTCTGGTCTACCCCTTTATGGCAGAGCTCAGCTTCCAATAAATGTCATGATTTCTGCCCATTGCTCTCTTCCTGGAGCCCCAGGCCCTTGCAGAGGCCACCTGAAGCCTGGTGAGCCAGCAGCCGTGGGCCTGTCCCTACAGAGCCCACTGCCAGCGCCAGAGCCCCTGCCTGCCTGCCTGCTTGTGCAGTACCACATCTCACAAAGATGTCTTCATTTTAGAAATGCCTGGGGTAGAAATCTCCAAAACAAAGCCAACGCCACTATTTGTAAAAAAGATTGTATTAAATGACAGCTTTCTTGTGCTTTTGAAATTTCATCTATAAAGGGAATTTACACACTACTTTCCAAGGTCTTAGTCATAAAAACCAACAAAAAGCAGGGGGATATAAAAGAATCCAAAACTGGTTCCAAAGGTTGAGGCGCAGTCGTGCACACACTCCCCCGCTCCCCGGCCCTGTGCCTGGCCTTGTGTCCTTGCTAGACCAGGCCTCAGGTTAGTGCTGTGGGTCACCTGAGCCCTGCAGCACAGTCAAAGCTGAAGTATATGTCATCCTGTCCGTCCCCCACCCCTGCCCTCACCCCACCCCACTGAGCCAGCAAAACCATGGTCCTAATGAGGAGCAGCCCAGGCCAGGCTCCCACCTGGTCTTCCCAGTCAATGTGTGTCCACTGGTAGACTTTGCTCCAGAGGTCAGGAGAAATGGGGTCAGGCCTTTGTCTATTTGGCACTCACCCTTCCTTAGCATTCCTCCCTCCTTGGCAGAGTGGCTTTGTCACCTAAAGCTTCAGCATTGTGTCTGCTCGGCCCTATTACTTAAAAGACTTGGAAGTTACACAGCACATCTGGGGCCACACAGGTAGGGAGATAGACCACAGGGGCCTGGGGTTCTGCTTTTATTGGGGTCGAGGGTGGGAGCCTACGGTTTGGTGGATTTAAAACATAAGGGCTGAAATTTAAAACACAGGAAGAGAAAAAAAACAAGTACCCCAAATGGTCAGTTATTGAAATCGACCAAAGTCTCTAGAACAAAGGGGCCTCCGTGGCGCTGGCATGTAAGCATGAGAGCTGAGAGCGCACCTCTCCCCACATGGCTGCCCAGCGCCTGCCCATGGCCGGGAGGGGTGGGGGAGTTTGAGAGCAAATACATGAATTCAGGCCCTTTTGGAGTGGAAGCCAAGGCTGGCCTCCTGGGACTTGGGATAGAATAATTAGGGAGGAAACGATGAACTGGGCACTTCTTCAAGCTAACTTGTCCCTTTCACCATGTGAGGACACATGAGAGGGTGGCCATCCCCAACCCAGGAAGGCCTCACCAGAACCTGGCCATGCTGGCACCCTCACCTTGGCCTTCCAGCCTCCAGAGCTGTGAGAGACAAACGTCTGTTGTTTATAAGCTGCCCAGTTGTGGTATTTTGTTATAGCAGCCTGAACGGCCAGGTTCTCTCCATTCCTGAAAAACCAAGGGAGGGGCCTGGCTGGTTCTCTTTGGGGGAGATGGGAAATGGGGCTCAGAGAGCTTGGGGTTCTTCGCTTGCAACCATTTCATTGGGAAGGTCCAGAAACCCCTAGTCTCAGAGCCGGCTCACCACCTGGGAGGTGTCTTTGTGTGGCTTTGCCTGGCCTGGTGAGCCGACAGTGCAGAGAGGCAGCCTTTGCAGCAGCCATGAGCTGGCTTGCAGCCTCCCCTCTCCCCGGCTGTGCACACATTGCCCCCTGTGCGCCGGGGCCACCTCCTTGGGCCCCTGTCCACTCAGCAAGCGGCGACATTGTGTGGACACCCTCATTCATCACGCCCTACAGAGGCTGTAAGGATGGCTGGGGCGCCTTGGCAAGAACACGCCTGTCTCAGCCGGAATCCAGTGAGCCGCGAGAAAAGGGGGTGACGTTCATGCCCATGTGCACCCGCAGTGTTCCCATCTCTGTGACAACTTTTCTGACGCCCTCTTCAGGAGGAAGCCGAGAAAGTGAGCGACCAGGTCCAGAAGATGAAGCACTGAACCGTGCCTCTGCGCCTTTGTGATAGGCAGCCGGGCGAGCCAGCTGGAGGGGGGAGCCCGGGGCGTGAGGGCGGGAGGGGGGAGTGAAGGTCATCCTGGGGTGTCCGAGTGTTAGTCCCCCTGCAGCAGCAAACCAGCATTCACTGTGCCCTGGGATGTCCAAGGCCCTGTTATTAGGGTTCCTTGGAGCCCATAAGATAACCCTTGGCCTCTGGGCTCTTACAATGCAGATAGATAAAAAATCAATATCTGGTGACGACCAAATTAATACTGCAAATAACTTCCAGGAGAGAGAGGCTTGGGGCAGGGTGATCATTCACAATCAGCACTTCCAGCCAGTCCTGCAGGTGGGCAACGTGATCCCTAGTCCCTGGTGTAGGGTATGTGTTTGGCCATAAGCGAAGCCCCCCATTCCCCTGCGCCCCCTGTCCCTGACTGTCATACGATTTCTTTCGTTCTCTCATGTTTTAGGGTGGTGGTTCACATGGGTGTCACCTCTAGCTGACTTTGGAATTCTTCAGGACAGAAATGGACAAATGTTACTGGTCAGACAAATGTTATTGGTCTGGGTCTCCGCCTGTCGCTGTGCCTGGAGCATGGTGGCACCCATTGCTGTCGTTGAGTTTCACAGCACAGTAGAGACAGGATGTTTCAGGGTGGTCCCAGTGAGGAGGCTGCCAGGGCAGGTACAGCTGTGGCTCTAGCCTGAGCAGAAGTATAGACGGACTGGGGAGGACGAAACTTGGAAAAGGACTTGCTTTGGCCTTCAGCCACCCCCTCGCCAGATGTGTAAACCCTCCTAGTCTCCTGGTGGAAATGCTGCCTTGGGAATCCAGTCCCACCAAGGAATGGCCCAGCCTCCTGTCAGTGGGTCCTAAGGTTGTATCTGTCAGGCGAAGCTGGATCATGGTGCAGTAACAAACAACCCAGTCTCAGTGGCTTAAACTACAAAGGTTAATTTCGTGCCTGAGCCAGCACTGCGAGGGATTGGGGTAGGAGTGGGAGGGCCTGCTCGCCAGTCTCTTGGGAACCCGGCTGGCGGAGGGGCCTCACCTTGAGATGTGCTCCTACCAGGCCAACTGCACCGGCTCTTGAAGCTTCAGCCTGGAAGGGATTCTCAGCACCGAGCCGCTAAGCTGCCTTGTCTAACTCTACCCCCTGGTCTCCTCGGCTTGCCCATCTCTGGTGGCTACCATCTCCACTGGCCCCACACAGCTTACCATGGCAATTCTGGGGTCTCATCCCTAACTCATCGGCCCAAGGGATTCCCAGTATTATGTCTTTCCGGGAGCAGGAGCTGTCCCACCCTTCCCAGAAATATCCAGAATGTTCCATACCTTTTTCTAGATCTCTCTCTCCCGAATCTCTGGGGAGTGGACTGTTCCTGCAAACCGGGAAACAGGAGTACCTTGGTCACACTCACCTCTGCTTCTCAGTGCCTCAGTTTACCCATATGTAAAACATGGGCTGTATCTGCCCCTCCTTACACTCGAGGTTCACAGGATGGCAATGTTAAAGCACTGGCTGCTCTTTGGAAGAAAAGGGCTCTACTTACACCACTCTGTCCTCTAGTTCCCCACCTCCCACCACCCTGGAATCTTCTGGAAGGTGTTGTATAGGCCAAACTAGAGAGGGGAACCCAGGGACTGGTGGGGGTTGGCAAGTGAATGGTCTCAGGCCTGGGAACATTCAAACACAGGCTACAATGCTGTCCAAGTGCCTTTAGTTGAAAGGGACACAGGGTCAAAGCTGCTAGTCGTTGAGGTGAGGGCCAGAAGATCCAGGAATCCTGGGGGGACACCCGGGGGAGGGGACCCTTCAGAAATGAGGAGAGGCCTGTAGAAACGGCCTCCAGATATGAGCCACCCTGGGCACCAGGCCCAGCTGCTCCAGCTGCAGCCGCATGGGCCTGTAGGCGGTGAGTTTGCTGTAGAGAGCGGGAGGGCTGTCGTGGGGCCTCGGGGAGAAATAGGCTTGTGGGGTCAGGGCCCCCCAAAGACCATGGTAGGGCTGAAACCTGGGAGGCGGAGGTGGGTTTGGGGCGAGGGGGCTGCTTGGCCCTGAGGACTTGGGCCGACTCTGGTTCTGAGGGTTGCTTCCCGTCGATGGGCTGCTGAAGGGGCTGGAGGACACTTGGTCACTGGCAGAGCAGCTACTGCCACTGAGGCGGCCGGGCGGGGGGCCGCGTCCTGCTCTGGGCTGGGGGGGTGCGACCAGCCTGGGGGACTTCAGGCCCATCACGGGCTTGGAGGAGGCGTAGAGGTGGCGGAACTCCTCGTCAAACAGCTCCACCGCCTGGCCCGTGAACTTGGAGAGGATGTTCCGGTGGACGTGGCCGCAGAGCCAGGTGAAGCTGGTGAAGGAGAGAGAGAGGGTGGGAATGGGGGGCACAGCTGGGCCTCTGGGGCCTTCCTCGGGGAGAGGCCGGGTAACCGCAGGCCTGGTAGGAAGGCGACTCCCATGCCCGCTGCCCCTCTGCGCTGCTGCATTTCATCCTGGCAGAAGCTCTGGAGGGAGACGGCGGTGACCCCCTTTCACAAATGGAAAACGGAAGCTCGCAGTCCAGCAAATGTCTGCTGCTGAGGAGGCTGCCAGAGTGACCTTCTGGCCTCAGGTCCGGGTTCCCTCCTGGGTCCCTGCGCAGGCACAGAGGCGCCCAGCGCCAGCTGAGTCCCCGAGCCCGGCTCTGAGCTCTCCTGAGTCATCCAGGCTCCACCCGTGGAGTGTGGGGACACCGGCCCCTCCTAAGCACAGTGGGGGGCGAGGCAGCTGCTCCCCGAAGGCAGGGCTGTGCTTTCATGAAACTAAGGGCCGCTCCCTCGCAGGCGTGTGGACCCAGAGGGGTGGCAGGGGAGGCAGAACCCTGGGCTCTTCGGGGGACGCAAAGAGAGCGCAGGGCGAGCCCACGGCAACCGGGCCGAGTGCGGGTGGCTGAAAAGTTACCGGGGCACCTTTGCGAGAGGACGCCCTCCAGCAGAGAGAGGCCTTGTCCCCTCCATCCATTTACAGGTTTTAAGAGAAAACAAAATGCTCAAGGCATTTATGTATTCCTTTTTATGTATTCCATTTCTGATGGAAAGCTCCCCTCACCACCGCTTGCCCCACCCCCAAAACACACCCCTGAAAATGTCTGGTGATAGCACAGAAGACCCACCAAGGACATCAGGTTAGAGAGTCCTGCGCCCCTAATCATGTGAATCCAGGCATGCGGAGAGATGGGCACAGGATGGTCAGAGGACAGGTCATCCGGGGGGACAGTGTCACGGCTGAACAGAAACAGCCCTCACCAAGGGTCTTAGCTTCCAGCCCCCACCAGGGTCTCAGCCTCCAGCCCCCAGCCCACTTGCCTTGCCAACAAAAGACAAGGCCCAGCCTGCAGGGTCGCTGCTCTGGGAGGCAGGGCGGGGCCCACAGGAGGCTGGGGCAATCCTGGGAAGAACAATGGGGCTTTGTTTAAGCCACTTGCCTCCCAGGAGCCGCCCACACAGCCCCAGATTGATGAGCAGCTGTTGCTGAGTTTAGGGCCAGCCAGGTGACAGGGAAGGTGGCAAAGACAGGGACAGTGGGACTCCTGGCTACACTAAGAAATCAAACACCCAGTGTGTTTGGAATCAGGCCGTATTAGGTAAAAACTATATGCTTTGCTCAACAAAACAGGTCCAAAGGTGCCCTGATAACTTTTCAGGTCCCCCTGCACCCAGCGCCCCCTGTGTGGCCTCGCATACCTGCACATCCCTGTAGCATCGGCGCCCATGCACCACCAGGGGTTCCCTCCACTTACCCTGCATCTCCAGGCATCCTATGCTCTAGCTTTCACTCTCTCTCTTTTTTAATCACCACCCATGATATGAAACACGTTTTATTTTTATTGGTTTTTGGCCCTTAAGTACATAGAACTGACTTAATCATAATCTTTGGCTCAAGACCACTTTCATCATTGGTCTCTTCATGGTCCATTACAATGCATGTAGACATTTACTTCATTATTTTAAATAATGTAACAAGCACCTATGAACCCACCACCTAAAATAAAAGCTAGCATGTTAACGATAACTGCATCTAATCATATGGTCTCTCCTGTAACCCATTTTCCCACCTCAAACTAGAAGAAATCATCACCTCAAATCCTGGGTCATAGTTCCCATACTTCTTTTTTTTTGATAATTAAAAGTTTGGTTTTCTGGAAGGTAAATATTTCTACTTTAGTTATTTTTGACATAATCTTTTGGCATTTTTCACTGAATATTGTATTGCTCAGACTTATCCATGTTGTCTCTTATTGTGGCAATTATTCATTTTTGACTACTGTATAATATTCCACTGGTGGCTGGATTATGGTTTATTCATCTACTCTCCCATTGATAGGAATTTGGATTACTTCCACAGTTTTTCTGTTGTGAGCAGTGCTTCTATGAATGTTCTTATGTTTGTCTTTTGTATTGTGAACCAGTTTTCCTTGGAAATACACCTTGGAGTGCAATTACTGGGTTATAAACTAGGTGAACATTCATTCAGCTTCAGGAGAAAATGCTAACACTTTCCAAAGTCCCTGTACCGATCTGCAGTCCCATCAGCAATGCATTAAAAGATCCTGCAAATCCAATATTTGGTATTGTCTTATTTTTTTGCTAGTTGAAAAGACGTAAAATGGTAACTCATTCTAGCCTTGATTTGCATTTTCCTGATCCCTACTGATATTGAACAACTCTTTCCATATTTTCACACTTGTGTCTCCTGGTGAAATGTCTGCTCGAGTCCTTTCTGTTGTGCTGTTGTGATCGCAGGAGTTCTTTGCTGTTCTTAACACTAATCCTGCCAGGGCATCATGAAAACCTGCTCCCAGTTTATAATCTGACTTTTCACTTTCTTTAAGAGGTCTTTCCATGAACCAGCGTTCTTCATTGCAATATAAGCAGATTTAGCAATCTTTTACAGCCAATGAGTTTTTGTGTTCTGTTTAACAAAGATGGGTATCTGTGTTAAGAAAGCTAATCCTTACCCCAAGTTAAAAAAATCATCTATATTTTCTACTAAGAGTTTTAAAATTTGTTTCTGACATTTAAGTCTTTTTAATCTATTGGGGTTGATTTTTTTGTATATGTGTGAAATAGAAATAAAATTTTCCATATGGAGAATTATTTTTTCCAGTTTCTTCTTTCCCTGCTGCGCTGACGTGCCCTGTCGAGTGTGCGGTGGGTCTGTGACTGGGCTTTTCTAACCTATTCCCTTTGCCAATTTGTCTGTCTCTCCTCCACTGTCTTAATTACTACAGCTCCATGGCAAGTCCCGATCTCAGGACAAGTCCTGCCTGTTTATCTTCAGACTTATTTTGGCTACTGTTGGAGAAATCATTTTACATCGTGACCTACTCACATACACAAATACATACATAACCACAGAGTAATTTCCAGAACCTCCCTTACCTCCAAGTGCTCTGGATATTTTTATTCTATTCTATTTCATTAAAAAAACAAAACCAAAAAAGCTGGGCAGCATCCACTAAGTTGATTCCATACCCTATGTGACACACAGTTTGAAAAACTTTGTTTCTCTAGCCACACTGGATGGCTGGGTCCTAACATGGAATTTCATTCATTTATTCATTCACATATAATGTGCAGACACTGAATTAACTGCACTTCTTGCCAGGAATGCAATAAAGAAGAAAATAGACCCAGTCCAGGCCCTGACATCATGTCGTTTACAATGTTGGCTAAACAAGTCCACAGAGAAGTTCTCTAGGGAATGATCTAGAAGCTGCCACCTGCAAGATAAGTTAGCAAGATAAAGACAACTGGAACTAGCTCTCCAGTGGAAGAATGAACAGCAAGTGCAAAGGCCCTGAGGCATGAAAGAGCATGAGAGACTTGGGAGGAGGCCAGGGTGGCTACAGCACAGTGGAGAGGGAAGAGGAATCCTGTTGAGACCGAGGCCATAGCAGAAATGTGGATTCTTTCTAGGAGCAGTGACAAGCACGGAAGGATCTTAAGGATGACTCAATCTGGTTTGTGTTTAAGAATCTTTCCGTTTCTGGTAGAGAAAGCCCAGAAGTGGTAGCGCCGGTCAGGGTAGGAGGAGAGTCAGGGGCCTGTTAGGAGGCCATGCTGGTGTCAGCCTGTTCCTCCTGCCTCATTTGGCCCCTCACCCCATCCCAATATTTCTCACCCCCCAAGGCCCACTCCAACCTCCTGGACCTGCCAGCAGAAGGGGAGTCCTCATGGCTGGCCCCAGAGCGCCTTCTTAGCTCATGCTAATCTTAGAGCGCACATCACCCAACTCTGTGGCCCTTTACCCATGTTTTCCCACGAGAGAGGAGCGTTCTGGGTCCCCAGCACCTGGCAGCAGTGCTGTGCTGGGGTGAGACCCTTAACAAGAAGTTAATGTTGAAATGCACCCCCTCCCCCACAAAGAGGCGGACAGAGCTCTTCAGTTTGGTAGAACTATATACAACCAGGGAGAGGGGCCAAAATATTGGAAGCTCAGAGATAGGCGGACTGAAAAAATGGGGTGAAGGCTTTCCTGATTCACTGTTTGTTTGTTTGTTTTGTTGTTTTACTGGCAACAACTCTAAGGGCCCCAGGGAAGAGGATCCTGATAGGCCGACAGACAGATTATCTTTGACTATTCAGGGCAAAAACATTCTCATTGCCCTGCCCTTTTTCCTGGAGCCGGATTCGCCAGGGCTCTCAGGGATGGCCCTGCGTCCGATCAAGCCCACTGCCGCCCTCTTCCAGGCCCCTCGAGGGTCAGATGACAAGCCCCGCTTGGCCCCAGTAGGCCCCGGCGAGCTGGAGATGCTGGTCAAGGGAGCTGGGGACTGTGGGCGCATTGCCCACCCTCTCTGTTCCTCAGGGCCCCGTCTCTCAATTAGAGTAATGCCCCCCTCAAGGCTGTGGGGGGATTAAAGCCTTAATCCTCACAGGGCCCGACGCACCTGGCGGGGCCTGGGCCTGGCACGAAGCCTGCCAAGGTTAACCGAGCTTCCTGCCGGTGCCAAGGGCAGGGCCACCCTGGTGACGAGCTCTGTAAGGACCAATGCCAATGAAAACTTAAGAGGCTTAATTCTCCCCGCTGAAAGTAAGATTCCCCCCTCTTCGTTTTCTCCTTCGGAATTTCTTTCTCTGTCCTTTGTAACTGTGTAGAAATCTTCTTAATGGCTAAAGAAGCCTCTTGCCAAGCTCACAGCTGGTTGCTAGGGGTTGAGAGGGCGGATGGGGAGTGACTGCCTAAAGGTGAAGGGATGTGGACATGCCATCCCCAAATATGTATGTCACTCTGACATAAGAAATAGCTTAAGCTGAGGGAATTTGAGAAACAGCTGGAAACTGAATTTAAGTCATCTGACTTCTAGGCTGGGAGGCTGGGCGGCTGCCACGTCTAGTCTCTTAGGTCCAGTGGGTTTGGGAGATGCTCTGACAGGGAGGGGAGAAGCGGCCGGGAAGCTGGTGGTTGGGGGCCCAAAGGGTGATGCTTGTCATTTATCTAGGACACCGACAGTTCAGCAAGCCCTGGCAATTCTGAGGTGAGAGGGAGGCTGTCTTGGTGCCCTCCAGTCTTCTCGGGGACCACACATCCCCTCCCCCAGCCAACGTGACATCCTCCAGCCTGTTTGCAGCTCCTCAGGACCAGCTTATTCTCAGCCCTCACCCATTCAGATCTTGCCTATTCCATGTCCCCTTCCCTCCTGGCCTTGCCAGGGTACTGGCTGGCTAAGCAATCATTTATTGAGCACCTACTATGTGCAACGAGCTATACCACATGTTTTACAAACTTTTCCTCACCCAAGGATATCTTTTTCCACTGATTTTTAGAGCGGAACAGAGGAAGAGAGAGAGAAACATCGACATGAGAGAGATACATCGATTGCTTGCCTCCCACATGAGCCCGGGCTGGGGCTGGGGATTGCACCTGCAACCGAGGTACATGCTCTTGACCAAGAATAGAACCTGGGACCCTTTGGTCCACAGGCTGACGTTCTAACCACTGAGCCAAACCGGCCTAGTCATGTTTTGCAAACTTTATCTGCAAGGGAAGATACTGTTATCCCCCATTTTACAGATGAGGAAAATGATGCTATAAAGAATTGAATTGCATACTCTAAGTGGGTGAATTATCTGGTATGTGAATTATAGCTCAATAAATTTGTTAATTAAAACAAACAATTCGAATATAAATGTGGAACACCCACACCCACACTTACCCACACCCACACCCATACCCACACATACACCCGAAACAAATTGCATGGCTTTATAATCACATCTGAGAGAGCTGAGGAGGGAATAAGAGGATCTATGTCCTATTGCAATATCAAGGGAAACTGAGGCACCAGAAAGTGCTTCTCTACTCCAAAGTCCTCTCAGGAAGGGCCCATTTCCCCTGCTTTTGCCCAGGCCTGTCCTCCCTCCTGGGAGTTGCTGGTGGGGGCAGGGGTGTGCCTGAGAGTCTGGGGCTGGACTGCACCACACTCAGCCTTGGCCTCCACGAAGCCTCGACAGGTGAAACCCAGCGCTCACCTGTACGATCCAGAAAGGACGTATCTCCAGTCTGAGATGATGAACTTCTCCTGGATTTGGCCGGCGAACTTCCTGCCTGATTTGGCGCAGTACACCTCTGCTCCCACGCTCCGGATGGAAATGTTCTGTTGGAAGGAAAGTCGAGGTGTCGCTCGCCAATTACATATTTATAGATACACATTAGTCTAGGACAAAGTCTGGAAGGATGCTCACCAACACGTAAACAGGGCTTATCTCTAGTTGGTGAGATGTGGGCCATTTTTATTTTTTCCTTTGCTGAATTTTCTAAATTTCCTTCATTGCCCTGACATTACTTAAATAATGGAGTGGGGGGAAGAGAAAGGAGGAGACGGTAGAACTTTTGAAAAACAGAAAATAGAAGACAAGGGCCCACGGAGCCCTCAGTCTTGGCTCTCATGGACCGTGGAGGTCCGGCAGGCCCAGCTTTGCCTTGTAAGTGACTTTAGTGACATGAATCCCTGACCCCAAGCTAGTCAGAGGGAAGGCTCAGTGCAGCCAGAGGAGGCAGCTTTGTAGAGATCTCAATGGACCCTCAATTGTTTTGTCTAAAAAGGTGTATCCATGACCCAAATCATGGTCTTGTGTGTCCCCTTGTCCCCAGCAGCACCTGCTGCCCCAGCCCTCATGGAGCCCTCGGGAGGCTGGAGGAATGACAGGCAGGCTAAGACGGGGCTCTCAGAGGAAGGCGGGGCGCTGCCGAGCCCCCGAGTGCCTGCCGGGTGCTGGGTGGGCTCTGGGAAGGGCAGCTCCTCCAGCCTCCCCATGAGCTCTGAGATTGCGGGAGGAGGGCCACATCCTTCTGTCCCTTGGTGGGCAGAGGACTATTGGGTGTGGCTGGTCTGAGTCACGAAAGCAAGGCTGGTGCTGACTCTCCTGTTTCGATGGCCTCGTGCTGAGCAGGTGGGATCCAGGTAACATCAAGCAGACCCGGTAAGCAGGGGACCTGGGGCCCGTGACACCAGGAGGTCCCTGAACTCAGCTGCTCTGATCAATGTGGAGGGGACAGGAAGGGGGAAGGGAGGAGGGCGGGTCTGCAGGAGGCCCACCTGCCTGGGCTAGAGGGGGGTCACCAAGGGAACCCCCTGCAGCTGCTCAGCCCAGCCTGCTCACTAAAGCTATGGGTGCTTTGACATTTGACCTTGAATTAGCCACCCCAAATTTAACGCTGAGGGAACCCTTATCTCTGGGTTTCTTTTCTCGTTGCTAGAAGAAGTAAGTGGGGACTGGTTAAGTCCAAGGGGCTGAGCTTCCTGTTGGGGCCACAGCGTCCTGAGCAGGAATCGCAGGTGCTGGAGGTTGCCCTGCGGGGCGAGGCGTCCCGGGGCCCCCTCAGCTGAGCGCAGGAAAGGCGGAGGCGCAGGGGGCTGATGCTCACCAGCTGCCCCCGCCCGGTACTTCCCAGCCCCGGGCAGCTAGGTGAGGTCAAAGGGCTGTGAGTGGACGTGATAAAAATCTCCTCCAGGTCGTGTTTTCATCCCACGGGACCCTCTTGCCTCCTTCCTCCCAACACTGAAATCTTGGAGGCCACATATTCCTCTTGCAGTTCCAAGATGAGGGAGGGCCGTCGGGCCTTCACTTTGAGCAGGAAATAAACCTTACTATGTGAGGTCATTGACATGGGGAGGGGGAAGGTGTTTACCACCACGGAATAACCTATCTTGCTCTAATACAAAGTCCCTTTTAGGTTCTCATCAGGGGCCCCTACCTTGAGGTGACTGTCAGAGATGGGTACTTTGTCACACATCTCCTGGAAGAGCTTCACACCTCCCTGGTCCAGGAGCACACAGACGAGCACCCCACGCTTATTGGCCGCTTCTAGGATGTCACAGAAGATCTCCACGTCTGTGAACACGTCCATCAGGATGGCCAGAACCTGGGCCAGGGGAAGGGGGTCAAAATCCAGAAGGGTCAGGTCCAGCGCTAACTGGTTTCAGCCAAACTGTCTCAGTCCTCATGGGCCTGGGAGAACTGGTCCCCCTGGCGCTGTGTTAGAGGCGAAGGGAGGTGCCGGACAGGGCAGGACTCCAGGAGGGGAAGAGCTGGAGGGGGGGGCTCCTGCCTCTCTCCTCACCCTGTCCTCGGACCCCAGCACTTTTCCTGGCCTCTCAGCCCCTTGCAGGGGTGGGGGTGCAGAGCTGGAGAGAAAAGCAAAAAGAGAGGGGAAGAGAAGAGGGGGAAGTGACCAGGCAGGTTCAGAGGAGAGGGCCAGATTTAAGGTCATGGATTCTCAGCCATCTGGAGCTCAAAAGGGCCTGTGGCCACTAGTTTTCCAATATTTTTAAGCCATGGAATCCTCGCCTCAAACGTAATCCATGTAGAGACCCCATATAGGAACTAGATCAGACCGAGGTGAGCCTGTGGATGAAGAGCGTCGTGCTCAGCCAGCAGTTCCTGCATCTTCCATCGCAACCGAAACTCGGGGAGTGGGGAGCCCTAGATACCCAGCAGGGGCAGAGGCGTGTGTTCCTGCCTGCCCAGCGTGCATTCCTCTCCTTCCAACAACAGCACCCCAATCTCACTTTAAGAAATCACCCCTTCGCTACCATATGATTTCATCTGTATGTAGAACCAAAAAACCAAAATAAACTTACAAACAAAATTGAAACAGACTCATAGACACAGGGAACAAGTTGATGGTTGCCGGAGGGGAGGGGGTTGGGGGACTGAGTGAAAAAGGTGAAGGAGCTGCGAAGAACATACAAACTGGCAGCTGCAAAACGGTCTTGGGGTGACAAGTACAGCGTAGGAAATATAGTCAGTAATATTGTAATAACTATGCGGGGTCATGTGGGTGCCGAAAATATCAGAGGGGGGTAACCCTCTGCGAAGTGTATAATTGTCTAACTACTATGCTGTACTCCTGAAACTAATACAAAATAATATTGAATGTAAACTGTAATTGGAAAAAAAAAGANCTACTATGCTGTACTCCTGAAACTAATACAAAATAATATTGAATGTAAACTGTAATTGGAAAAAAAAAGAAAAAAAAAATTACCTTTTCTCCACAATCAATGTGGTTTGGGTGGGGCCTGGGGAGGGCACATCACCAAGGCCAAGCCAATGAGAGCACCACGTCGCCCGCTGCCACAGAGACTGGCTCGGGAGCGGTCCCATGGTCCAAAGTATTCTAGCGAGAGTCAGCTCAGGACTTTGGCTGGGACTCTTGGGGAAGGAGGCATGCTTTCTACGGGGTTGCTTAGCTAGCAGACTATAAACTACAGCTGCTGGCCGCCATCTCACTGCCACGTGGGGACAGCCTGACTGTAAAGGAAGCCAGCCCCGGGGAAGGAAGGGCCCCGAGCTAGGGACTGATGGCCAGCATCGTCTGAACATCTGGTTTCAGTCATGCCTGAAGCCAATCCTACCCTTGACTTTTCCACTGTGGATGTCAATGCATATTCCTCTTCTTAAGCTTATTCGGGGTTACTTGCTGCGATATTGTAATTTAGAATAATAAATGTATATTAACTTTGAAAACCCTTGGAGTTTCCTAAGTGGGCTCTTCCTCTATGTGGGGACACAGCGAGAGGACGCTGTCGATGAGCCAGGAAATGGGCTCTCACCGCCGGAGACCTTGGTCTTGGACTTCCAGCCTCCAGAGCTTCTTGATGTGCTGTCTGGACAGGGGAGGGAACTGCTGACAAATTGCTCACCCTGGGCTGGATGGCAGGAAAGGTGTTCTAGCAGGGAGACCCACGATCCTTGAGAACCATGCCCTGTTGTGGCACAGTTAAGTGTCTGCACACATTTAAGTTTATGGGTCCTTTCTTTTGAAAGATAAATGCCTCTTCATCCAAGTTACCCACAAAATAGATAATTCTCTCTCCCCAGGATGTTAGTAAACCCTCCCAGTTGTGTGTCCGTGAGTCCCTTGTTTTCCTGAGACAGGGCTGATGAGCTCCTTTCAGGGGATGGCACAGTTTCTGCTCAGGGGGCCTTGCTCTGACCCTCTCTTGACCCTAGACCCCCTCCCTCGCCCCTGCCTACCTCCCTCAGACCTGCTGGCAACGACCCAGTGACCTGTATGTGTGTGTGGCATGGGGGGTTCAGCCCATCCAGGGCAGGGTCTCAACCTGAGAAGACAGCCCTTGATAACTGGGGTGGTCGCGGAGGTGCGGAGCTTCTTCCACGTGGCTCCTCTGCAAACCTCCTCTACACCCATCCAACTTCCCGGAAAGCTGATTAGATTTTTTTCTTTCTACAATGAATCTGTATTTCTTGCCCAGAGAAAGGGAGAGGCAGAGGGAGAGGGGGTTGAGTGACCAGAGAGGGGTGAGTGAGGAGAGGGGGCTTGCCTGCTAAAGTTCTCCAGCTTTCTGATCTCAGGACCCCTTTACACTCTTAAAAATTATTGAGGACTCCAAAGAGCTCTGGTTTATGTGGATTATAGCTATTGATACTTGTCATATTAGAAACTAAAACTGAGGAAATTTTTAAATGTTTATTTTTTATTTTGAAATAACTAATATTAGTTACTTAAACCAATATTAAGCCCATTACATGATAATATAAATAACCATTTTAATGAAAAATAACTATATCTTCCAAAACAACAACAACAGAATGCAATGAGCAGAATTTTGTAAATCTCAGTGGTGTCTGGCTGGTTTAACAGAAGACAGCTGGCTTTCGTATCTGCTTCTGCAGAATCTGTTGTGATATGTTGTTTGGGTGGAAGAATATGAAGATAAATTGGCCTCACACAGATAAGTGGTTAAAAAGGGAAGGACCTTACAGATCTGCTTGGCCACATTTGGAGGATGCATTAATCATGTTTTTGTTTTTCGTGTTTTATGATCCTTGGACATCCCAGAGCTAGCTGATTCCTAGAGATAGCAAACACCAGGCCTCTGAGCATATCTATGATATGCAAACCAAGCAATCCAGAGCCAATACACCAACCACCCCCTTATTTTAATTTATTTTTTAAAAAATTTATTTTATTGTGGAGAGTATTACTGACATCTCTGAGGGAAGACAGGAAGGAGGGCAGGAAGAGATTAACCACCCCCTTATTTAACTCACACAACAAGCCAATAGTCCACCTGCCCTAATCACCCAGGGCCAGGTCCCAGCCAACTAGGGACCATCTAGAGCCCAGGGCCTGCCAAAATGATTCAAACTAGCCAGTCTTAAACTGTTTACTGTGCCCTGCCATGCCTTTCTTGCAAAACCACAATAAAGGCTTGTGTCCATGCTTTCCCCTTGCGCCCTGCCTCCCGAGCACCCTGGTACTGCCGGTGGGGCCCTGCTTCCAGGGAACTGTGCGCACAAACTTTCCCCGTGTCTGCGTGGAGGCACACGTAAGAACAAAGAACTACTGTCACTCTTTGGCCCAGAGTATAAGGCACAGCCGCTCTTAGGCCCGCTAGCTCCCGACCCTTGTCTCCACCCTCATCGTTCCTTGTGGTCCCACGTCAACAAGCTCTGTTCCACTAGGTGGACGACGGTGTCTCCCCATCTCCCGACCTTCAAGCCCTCTCATATCAGGCCTTTGTGCCTGACACTCCCTAGCCCGGGAATTCCTTTCCCTTCCCTCTCTGCCTGGCAAACTCTTACTCAGCCTTTGCGACCCAACTCAGAGCCACCTCTTCGTGAAGCCTGCCTTAGTCACCTTCCCGTCTCCTTCCAGGCACAGAGGGTTGCTCAAGCTCAGGGCTGCCGCCCACCAATGTATTGCCCCTTCTTCTCTCCTCTCCTCCCTCCTGGGGCTGCTGGCAGGAAACTCCCAAAAGGGAAGGAGGCTTCTTTCTCTGCTCCGCCACCCTGGCATGGCTGACAGAAGTTCAGGCACCATGACTGGCACGTGGCCAGGAGTCCTCAATGTCCTAGATCGTGGGCTGTAAGTGGCTGCCTGCTGTCAGCTGCGGCTCCTTCTATGCCAGGTGCACAAAGTGATGAGCACAGGGCTGTAGGTGCCCACTCTGCCCTCCCAAAGCTGAAGAGAGCCGAGAATGGACTCCAAAGGAAGAAATTTGTCATCTCTGAAGATTCTCCCTCTGTCTGTCTCTCATCACTTAAGTTTAAAATTTTGGTTACATTTAAAAGAACTCAAAAAAGAACAAGCTGGTATTTAAGCTTGTTTTTTTTTGTTGGGGTCCCAAGTTTAATACTGTATGAAATCAGGAGGCTCCAGAAAAAGCCCCCGGGGGTGGGGAGGTTGTGTGGGAAAGGGGAGGGAGGGAGAGGAGTTCTGGAAAATTTAAATTGAAGGTAACAATGGGTGGAGCACCGGCTTTTCATGTCACTGGGCTGCTTCAGAGCAGTATCTCATGTTTCCGTGACAGGGCCGCAATAGGAATTGGCAGATGGTCCCAGGCAGGCAGGCAGGCAGGAGTGTGGGCCCTTCCTGGGACTGGCTACATGACCTAGGGCAAGTCCCTTAGCCTCCCAGGCTTCAGAGTCCACGCTGGATTAAGGTCCCTTCCAGCTCCAACAGCCTGTTTCTAAGTGTGCTAGCTCTGGTCTCGCTGTGCATGAGGATCAGTGCTCTGCCACTGGTGTTGGGGAAATTCTTAACTGAAGCTGCTACTCACAGGGTGAGTGACACTCCCTGGAAAGAAGGCATGTTAGGGCTTGTGAAACATAATTTCCTGGCTGAGTCCCTCTCCTTCCCTCTATTCCTCACCCAGCAATGCTTTCCTTCCAGCCTCTGTGGCCCTGAGGCCTGCTGATGTCCTTTCTCTCACCAACAGAACACGTTATGAATTTAAGACAACACAGAGGATTTCACCTAAAAGTAAGAATTTTCAGCTCCTCTTAGCACATAGGAAGACCTGGCTCTGTTGGTGCTGAGTTGTGGCCACCTACCTCTTTGGGTGAATCTCCTTTGCCACAGACCCCACCACTCCCTCTTGTCTCAGGCCCCTATGAACTTCACCCAATTTTTTGCCCGTTAGGCCTTTGCAGGGAGAGTCTGATATCTATACACAAGCCCGCACACACACACGCACACACACACACAAAGGCTTAAGAATGGGGTGCTCCCACAGAGATGTAGCTGATCCCCAGCTACAATCTGTCATTGAATGTAGGCTGTGATCCCTGCTCAGAGCCTTCAATGGCTCCCAAATGCCCACAATGGGAAGAGCAAACTCCTTATCATGGCTCGCAACCTCTCTAGATCCTGTCCTACCTCCTGCCACTCAATACTGAGTGACATGCAGACTCTCAAGCCCATCACACTCTGTGTTCAGGCCTTCACATATGCCGATCCCTCTGCCCGGGACCCTCTCACCTTCCTTGCTCTGTGCCCGACTAATGCTTACTCCTTCCCAAGACCCAGACCCGAAGTCTATTTCAGGAAGGATTTCTGAATTCCCAGCTAGGCCAGGTGCCTCCCCTCTGTGCTTCCACATGAAGGGGTCACTCCACTGGGGCACATACTTGTCCCCGAATCCATTGGTGGTCAGGCAGAAAAGGGATGAGGTTAGATTTGAAGTATAGAAAAAATGTCTACAGCAGCACCAAGCCTGGGAGGTTGGGGTCGAGATGGAAGACGAGGGCCAGGCAGGAAACTATTGTAGGAGTTCAGTGTGGGGGGACCCAGGCTGTGACAGATGGATTCAGGGAGCCTGTGGTCCCAGGTAAGGCAGAGAGTGACATCCTTGACTGCATCCCTTAGAGCAGGACTCACCCCCTCTCCCTCCTCCACCAGCCCCCATTCCTCCCCGCCCGTGGCCAAGGGGACACCGGCTCGCCCATCGCTACCTGGCTGGTGCGGGTGATGCAGCGGCGGATGAGGTCTCTGATGTTGTGTTTGTCCGTCTGGAAGTACACGGTGGCGCTGGACTTTTCCTTCAGGTAGGGCTTCTCGGCCGAGGCCCAGGCGTGCAGCAGCGTGGGCTCGCTGTCCTCTGAGGCCACAGGGTAGTAGGTACCTGACTGCAGGGAGCAGGAGTCGAGTCCTTTGGCTCCTACCTCGGTGCCCCCTGGGGTCTCCGGAGTACAGGGGGGCTCCTTGGCCTGGGCCTGGATATAGTGGGCTTCTGCCGAGGACAAGAAGTCCACCTCACCTTCCTGGCTGAGGACCTGCCAGTAGGCCTCGGGCCCGCCATCTAAGAGGGCATCTGTGGCCAGCCGGGCGCTCTCATTGTCGCTGAAGTCAGTCCTGGCCAGCCGGACCCACTGGCTCTTGACATCTTCCAGGCGTTTCCGGATCTTGCCCATCGGCCTTGACCGGTTCATGCTGCCCTGGCCCTGAGTCCTGGCGAGGAGGCCGGCACTCCAGCTGTTCTTGATGTCGGGAGCAAGCAGGCCACACCACTGAGGAGGGGTGGAGCTCCTGGCTGTCCTGGAAGCACCCAGCTCCAGGACCTGTGCACACCCAGCGCCCAGGACCTCCTGCCACCCCTCACACCCGCTCCACGGAAGTGATTTCCCGCTGTTCTGAGCAATGCTTCACGGATTCTCCAACCGCAGCCAGGGCTTGGCTTATCTCTCAGTGACACCTGCCCTGCCTGCGGGCCAGGGGCGCTGGCTCACTCACGTCTTGGCACACTCAGCCCTGGGAGAGTTCCCCTCCTCCCAGTGGCAGAGGGAGGCCAATGTGAGCCGGTTTCCCACTTGCGTGTTGCACAACTCTCCCAGACACCCTTGGGTCCTTGTTACAAAGCAGGAAGCCTCTCCCAGCACCATCACCTCTGCGCTGGGTCCCCTACTGTGCTCCTCAGTTCAAACCCCCACTGCTTCAAAGACCAGAATTTCCCTGAGGGGGACAAGCTGCCCCTGAGACCTGCCTTCTGACCTGTGTTAGCAGGGAAACTGGAGGCAGGCCAGCTGCTCCTCCTTTCTCTTGGTAACACCCAAGTCCCCAGGTCCTCCCTGTCCTCTGCAAAAGCTCTTCTGTCCCATCTCTCTCCTGTATTGTGATTGCCATGGTCATGCTGGAACAGAGCCCCCAGAGAGGTTCCAGGTTGGGGGCCAGCGCTGCTGCGGCAAGACAGGCTGCTAGGAGCTCTGCTTGAGAAGAATCTGCCGCTGCGTCTGGGCCAGTGGACCGATGGGATCTGTCTGTCTCGCTACTGTGGGAGCAGGCGGCAGCAGCGTGTGTGAAATATAGGGACTTTACAGGGGAGAAGCCACATTTTCTTCCCAGATCCGGTTATGGTCAATTCTGTGCCAGTGGAATGCAGTATCCACAGTCCTGACTGTCTTTGATTGGGTTCTGCCAGAAACAGGCCCTGAGATGAGAATTCAAGTGCAGCCATCTCTCTGTATCTATCGGGGATTGCTCCAGGACCCCGCGGATACCAAAATCCGTGGATGCTCAACCCTTAATATAAAATGGCATAGTATTTGCACATAACATATGCACATTTACCCTCTTATACACTTTAAATCTCTAGGTTATTTCTAGTACCTACTACAATGCAAATATTATGTAAATAGTTGTTACACTGTATTGTTTAGGGACTAATGACAAGAAGAAAGTCTGTACATGTTCAGTACAGAGGCAGCCATCGTAGGCCTGACTGCATAGCTCAGTCAACAGCAACGTAACATTTTTCTTTTTTTAAAAAAATGTTTGATCAGCAGTTGGTTGATTCTGCAGACGTGGAACCCACAGATGAGGGACCTGCAGAATTGGAGGTGGCCAGTTGGGAGATGATCCAAGAAGCACTGCCAGGGGATGTTAATGAGCAGGTTACCCTTGTGGACATCCAGGGGTTATGAGATCTGTGGGAGCACCCGGGTCCAGTCCTGCCAGGGCCTCTGGGACATGGTGTAGAACACATCTCAGATTATTCCCACCCAAAATTTATCCACCAGCCTCCATCTGTCATTGGTCTAGCGCTGCTCCCAGAGCTGCATTAATCCCCACACTGCTGGCTGCCCTGTGTGCTCACTAAACACAACTGTGAAGCCAGAGAAAGCCTTCCGGCAGTCACAGGTGTGCGCAGTAGGAGACTGTGGGAGCCGTCAGTGCCAACAGGTAACAGCAGGACACTGCCAGTAACTGCTAAGAGAACTATGCCAGGAACCTAAGGTTGTGTGGCCTTCAAACAGCTAGTACAGTAGGAGCCAGAGGCCCCTCTGTGGCATGGCTACTCTTTGGAGGAAAATTGCTGGAAGCATCTGTAACTTCCCCAGAGCTGTGGTCCAAGTGGCTCAGTCCAGTAGAAGAGCAGTATTTTCAAAAGCACTGTCCAAAGAAAAGAAAAGGAACTTTAAAAGAAATCCTTCTTCTCTTTTGAAGGACATTGAAGAAATTCAACTCATGACCTTGGGTGACCCTTCCTTTATTCCATTTTATCTCCTGGTCACAATACCTGGAACCTTGAAGAGAACAGACTTAATAAGCTCTCTCTCCCTATTGACCCCTTGGTGCCATGCCGAGACTCTAGTTGAATTCTTTAGAGTAGACAGCAGATATAGTCTATGTGCTGTCACACCCAATCCCCCATCCCTGTGCTCCTGGCAGACATTACTAGCTGATCACAGAACTCTTTCCCTGGGAGCTGGGCACTACCCCCTCACAGCTCGTNCATCCCTGTGCTCCTGGCAGACATTACTAGCTGATCACAGAACTCTTTCCCTGGGAGCTAGGAACTACCCCCTCACAGCTCGGCTCCTTATAGGGCTCAAAGAGGAGTCCTCACCTGGAAGGAATCTTGGATGTACTTCAAGTGCTCCAGCTTACTGATGGGTAAACTGCAGCCCACAAAGGGAAAGTGACTGTACTCAAAGTCACACAGCTGGCCAGCGATTGTCATCATTGTTGTCCCTCATCTCCTCTCCTCTGCAGCACCAGCCCTATGAAATGTTATCATTCTTGCTGGGCCCACTGGCTGAAATAAAAAATTCCCCAACCTGGGATTGCCCTGCTGTACCAGGAAGGCTAGCCTGCTGTTGAGCCACACCTTCATACGCTGGGACATCCGTATCAAAGAGCCACCTGTTACAGGCACCGAGGATTACGAAGGACTTGCCTTCTTCTGTCCTGTGGCCTGAATTGTAGTCTTTTCTGCAATGAAGGAAAGAATGAGAAGCCAGACTCCTTTTGGCAGATGAGTGGTGTTGGGGCTTCCTTTATTAGGGCAATGGTTCTCAAGGTCGGGATTTGGATCCTTCCACTCAGAGGGCATCTGGCAATGTCTGGAGACATTTTGGTTGTCACAATTGGGGGTGTGTGTGATGCTACTGACATCAAGTGGGTATACTCCAGGGACACAATGCATGGGACAGCTGACAATAAAGAACTACCTGGCCCCAAATGTCATCGTGCTGAGGCCAAGAAACCCTGGTCCAGTGCTGGACCCTCGCCCATGTAGGAGATCCAGTCCCCTGCCTTTGTTCAGCCCCTCCCCTCAGCAGGAAATCCTTGCCTCTAGTACAGCAACTTATTCAAACCTTTCTCAGTGTTCAAGGTCTCTCTTGAGTCCCACCTATGCAAGGGAGCCTTTCTTCACAATTCCCAAGCAGCTGAACTTGCTCCTGCTCTGTGCCTATAAGGTGCTGGTAGCACTCATCTCGGTTAGTCTTGCACTAGTTAAGGGTGCACTCCCTCCTCACCCCACTGCATTTCATTCCCAGTGTGTACAACAGCACAAAGCTTCCATGCCTTCGGAATCAGCACAGCTGGGTTCATTGTGCCTATGATACTATGTGACCTTGGGTAGGTAACTACACTGAGCTTCACTCTCCTGTCCACATAGTAACAGCTAACATCCCTGGAACATGTCCAGGGTACCAGGTGCTCTTCTAAGTGCCTTACATGTGTTAACTCATTCGATCCTCATAGCAGCCCTATNGGGTACCAGGTGCTCTTCTAAGTGCCTTACATGTGTTAACTCTTTCGATCCTCATAGCAGCCCTATGAGTCATTTCTCATGATGAAGGAAACTAAAACACAGAGGCTACCTACCTAACTTGCCCAAGGCCACCTGGCCTGGCAGTGGCAGTGCCAGGAGCCACATGTGGGTGGGCTGGTCCCAGAGTCCCCCTGCTAACCACTAGGCCTTTTTCACGGGATGAACCCCAAAGGGCATGAGACCTAAGCGAGAAGGCCTGTGTAATAAGTGGCCTGATCTTGCCCCATTTCTGCTCCACTCTTTAGCCTAAGACAGCATCGATATTTTTTTTCTGAGCGTTTTACATAGATGATAGAGTAGAAACTTTACAACCGAGAAGCCTGTCAGACACCACCCTACCAATCAAGCGATCAAAGTGGTCTCCTCAATAATAAGACAAATTGGAAGCTTGAGCCACCTGATAGGATACAATGAGAAGAGCACAGCATCACTTCTGTGATATCCCTGCCGAAGATGCACAGCCTGAATTCTGACTGTTTCTTTTTAAGTTTTTCAGGTGATCCCAGATGGAGGAGACAGTCAGGCCAATCCAGACCATGAGACACTAGGGGAGAGGACAGCATCGGGGACCGGGGAGGGAGTGGGTAGTCTCGTTACACACACACTGCACCCTACCACAGCCCTGCAGTGTTTGCGTAGATGAGGAAACTGAGGCAAGGGGGGGTGAAGTAAATTCCTCTGGGGCCCAACAGCAGAGCCTGGATTGGGTTTGTCTCCAAAGCCTTTGCTCCCATCTGCAACCAGCTTCTGTAATTGCTGGTTTAAATGGGAATTTCGTCCTTTACGCTGTGAGCAATCTGGAGTAGGGGTAGAGGGTCAGGCAAGTCATGACTTAGCTTTTTGCACCCCCCCCCCC